GCAAACAGACCGAAGGGCTTATCAAAGGCCCGGGGTAATATTTGTACAAACGGTGGATTAAGGCACTAGCTGGGTCAGGCAAGTATTGTTCGTCCCGTGACCAGGACACGGGGCAGGACGCAGGCATGGTGGGCACTCTGCTCTGCTCGAGACGAAAAGGGGCAGGGACAGAAAATGCAATGACAAAGCCAACACTTGTCCCTCGGACCTCCCCGGAGCATCCCAGCTGTGCGAGGCAGCCACCCACGGCTGCCTCCCCTCCTGCTGAGCGTGCAAGGGCAGCCACACAGCAGCCCACGCTCGCCGGGGGGCTCAGCCTGCAGCAAAAGCAGCCCCTCTGCCTGTTAGTGCAAGTGCCAGGCGAGGAACAAACCCCGGTCAAGCAGGGATCTGCCCTGGAAACGCTGAGCTGCTCCTTACATGGCTTAGGCAAGCTTGGAAACACGAATGCACACAGGAGACAGATCCAAAAACGCCCAGCTGAAGGATGCAGCACCGGCTGGGGGTGTAAGGGAGGGAGGTGGACTGCGAAGGACCACAGCAGGGGATGCTGAGAACGTGCCGCCCCACGTTTGGGACAAATTGCACCAGAACAGATGCACACAAGTGCCACATCACTGCATCACACGTTCATTGCTCTGCCCCCAGCGACTGCGCTGATGTGCCCATGGCCCCAGGGCCCCGCACCGGGAAGCCAGCGGGAGCCCTGACCCTCCCGGACCCCCTCTCACACCTGGCCAGGTGCTTCGCAGGGTGCTCTCCCTCTCTCCGAATTATCGGCTATGAATCGCTGTCGGAGGCACCTGGCGCTTTGATGCTCTCCCCAGATCTACATACTCTGCCCCCAGCGACTGCGCTGATGTGCCCATGGCCCCAGGGCCCCGCACCGGGAAGCCAGCGGGAGCCCTGACCCTCCCGGACCCCCTCTCACACCTGGCCAGGTGCTTCGCAGGGTGCTCTCCCTCTCTCCGAATTATCGGCTATGAATCGCTGTCGGAGGCACCTGGCGCTTTGATGCTCTCCCCAGATCTACATAAGCACGCAATACTGATGCAAAGCTGTCACGGGCACGGACAAAATACTTAACACTTAAACACTTGTTACCCTCTAGTATGGGGGTGGGAGGGAACAGAATTTAAAAGCATTGCTTGCAACAGCTGACACTCACTCCAAAAAAAACACGCAGTCACTTTCGTACCGACATAAAAGCCCAACACCACGAGGCTCCCGTTCATGTCTGGGCCACTGCAGGTCAGAAACTCACAGCAAAAAAAGCAGCAAGGCTGAAACCAGCTTGTTTCTCCCCAGAGAGCCGCCTGGATGTGCAGCCCTTAGCTCGGGATGGCGCCACGGGGGGGGCACCGCCGAGAGGGGCCCAGGACAGCACTGCCGCCCGGGTCAGCCGGGGTCACCGGCACCATGTCCCCACCGAAACCTCACCCCCGGGTAACGCAGCGGGACACTGCCTGGTAAAGGGAGCGGGCGCAGAGCGAGTGCCAGATCTCACGGCTGCCTTGCAAACAGCAGCCCTCGGCCCCTGCCCGCGGTCCTGCGCCAGCCCAGCACCGTGGCTGGGACCTCCGAGCCACGCAGGCAGCCTGCCAGAAGGACGAGCACGCGCAGGGCCCGGGAAGCTGCACAGAAAGCCCTACCGTTTTCAGTACTTTAAAGGTAGCTAAAGCAGGTGTTACAGTTGTGGAAGAGTGTTCCAGTGGAGTAAGAGGGGTAAAACCCCATCCTGCATATAGAGCTCCTTTTCCAATGAAACCTATTTGCCAAGGGTTACATCGATACAACTCTTTCAGTTGTAAGCCCATGCTCAAGCAATAACTACAAACCTTTTAGATAGGACAGAGCAGGAAAACAAGCTTCAGCGCCAAGTGCATAGATTTCATTATTGCAACACCCCACAAGTCTGTCATGGCTTTTTTAGTCTACCCTAAAGTAACTGGCTTTGGACAAATTAACGTCAACACGGTAAGCTTTCTTAAAACCAAGTCTTCTGCTGCCTCCCCCAAAAATCAAAGCTGGAGGCTGCTGTGATGTGCAGTGACCAAAGCAGGAGGGCTCTGAGGACACGTGGATCTGAACTGCTGCACGATGCTGTCAGCAACACAACAATCGAGTAGTGCCATTTCTATCTGAAAGTACTAATTTAGCAAGAAAGACAAGTCAGTGGCAGTTGCAGGTCACAGCGCATATTCCAGCAGCAATAGCAGCTCCTGTCTAAATGCACATCATAACAAACCCCAGCAACCGGTATGGGGTTGCAATACTGATAAAGTGACACCTGAGGGCAATAAATTTGAATTTGTTCCCATTAAGGTTTCAGAGAAACACTTAGTCTTATCTTAAAAAAATGCAAGTTTATCTGCAGCAATTGCTTTGTCTCTGTTTCTTCTGTTACTCATTATTAAAGGCTTGCATATCATAATGTCACAATTTAGCTTAATTAGCAGATATTTAAATGCTATCTACCAAGACTGATTTGAACAGACGCTCATTGTCTTTTAGGAAGTCTGAGGTTCAGGCCATGTCCCAATATGCATTCTCCTCCTTTGAGACACCTCAACCACCGCCACCACAAGATGCCACCATCGGCAGCATCTCTAAAGCAGTAACGCAGCAGTGTGTTAAGAGACTGCTCTAACATACTTGTTAAACTGCACAGAGACTAGAAGTACAGATACTTCCTCTGGGGGCTCAAGTTGAACACTCCCACAGTAAAATTACTTTCTCAAATAAAAATTTCCCTCTCAAAAACCAGACAGACTTTATTTCTAACCTACCAGTTAATGCCTCTCTTTTCCAAAGGTCGATGTGAAGTCTTAATCCCTGCCCACCAAGTTATGAAAAGGAGAAACAAGTGTAAAGAAGTATAACATTTTCAGCATGGATCAAAAACCAGCAGAAAACATAAGCACTCACTTGCATGTTGGAAGAGATCCTCTGTTTTGGGAAGCAGGAATTGCAGCACAGAAGCTGGAGGCTCAGATTTTTGCCTGGCAGGGCAGGAGAAGGCAGCTCAGAGCCAGGGACCCTCTGCAGTGCTCAGCTATGGTGGCTCCTCAAACTAATCTCAACTGCTTCCACCTGTAGCCTGACCCAGCCCTGCCCCTCATCAGGGATGGTAAGAAAAGGAGCTCACAGACACCTGCACCACAACTTTGCAAAAGAACCATCTGGAAACACACAGTGGACAGCTTTTGCTATTTCTGGAAGCAGACTCAGAGCACACTGAAACTTCCTGCAGTGACCAGGTGTTGCACATGGGACATACACAGATGTTTTGCCAAAAGGGCTTAAGGCATCTCAGCCTTTGTCTTTCAGGGAAAACCCAAAAGCACAGTGTTTATCTCAAGGCTATACAAAGGACCACCTGATCAATTTTTCTGCAACAAGTTGGTAGTTTCTTGCTGGAATCAATAAAGGACAGAAGCCATATTTATTGCATTACTCTCCATACCAGGAGACTCAATTATTTTTATTTCTCCCTTATATTGCATTTCTGTCACTTTTACAGTATTAAAATGATTAACAAAAGCATAAAACTGGAAACAAAAACAATCATTGAGAGTGTCTCCTCCGGCACTCCAAGGCCCATCATCAGCAGGGGCTGTGCTTGTGTATTCGCACCCACACGGAGAGGCTGAGACTCAGTCCTTGTAACAGGACACACTCTGCTCAGAAGGGAAGAAACTGCCTTTCCCAGGAAGCAGGAAGGCACTCAAGGCATGGGCTACTTTTAAGCCTGGCTGGTGGGAATCCTCAAGACAAGGTCCTGGTTCTTCACTGGATAAGCACTCTCAGGGCACGTGCTTTAGATGTCCATGTCAAACTGCTCTTCCTCACCTGTCCAGAGGGACAAAAAACACAGATGAGTCCTCAAAGTTTCACCTTAAATACTGAATATTTTATTGAAGAAACAACAGTCAGCTGTGATTCACAAATGTGGCAGTTCAGACTTAAAATCTGCATTCAGGCATCAAGTTTGATATGAAAACCATTTTGTACCAGCAAAACGTAAGCTCTGCCCATAGAGGGGATCTTACTCACAGACAGACAAGAGCAGAGGTAGAGGAGATGCCCTTTAAATCATTTATTTCTACCCCTGGATTTCCTTGTAAAAAGGAATGCAAAGAATAACGTTGATGACAATCACTGTTACAAACTTCTGTTACCAAAGACACAAACGCACATTTCACAACTTATTATCTGTACAGCTGTTACCACAGCTCACGCAATTTGACAGGATGCCAACGTGAGCAGCGATGATCTATTCCTGAGGACAGGGCTTCTTTGGAAGAGTCACAACCAAGCTGGCATCCAGCATGCAGCCTGCATTTCAGTTTGCCAGAGAATCCAGTGAGCCACTAAAGGTCATAACAGTGTATAATAAAAAATACTAAGCAATATTGACTCTGGAAAGATTTTGCTTAGAGTGAGCATGGGAGCCAGCTAATGAGCATTCAGATCTTTATTTTTAGAGAGAAGATAAATAATCATACTTGGTAGTTTCAGGCTGCTTCAAGAAGTAACTCACATAATTTAAAAAAAAAAAAACTGTTCAAGAGCAATGCTTGCTCATTTTGCTACTACAGTGCCTTTAGCTAAGTGTTGATGTGCACAAAGTGGCCAAGGACCTCTGTTCTCCTGTGGACTAACTCTGCCTTGCTACCTCATGCACATCTACAAGCTTCCACTGAATCCACTAAAGATAGCAATGGATACTAGATAATTAATATATACAAATCAGGTATTACATCCTAGCTACATAAATGGAGCTCACTTGTACACCAGAAACCTCGGTGTCAAAAAAAGGCAGAAGGAATTTACAACTCAGGCTGATATTAAAACCCCCAAACAAATCCTACTCTGAATTGGAATCTGATCTTTTTCAAAAATGCAAAGCAGCTGCAAAATGGTCCAGGAGAGAGAGAGGCAGCAACAGCTGCACCCATTCTCTCGCCACAGGACTATTAATCCAGTAGCAGTTTCCCAAGTGCTAAATTAGTGAGAATAAAGTGATTATAACAAATTACATTTAACTAATTGAAAAAACATCATACTACCAGGGACCAGAGCAGAACCTAATAACCATGAGAACCTAATTACCCCATAACATCAAGCACACTTTGATTTTGCAAGAAGTTATCAGAGTATTGACCATAGTGTAAAAGGATCTCCTGGCTCCAGTCCATGCGCAAACCTTGGTATTTCTAGGAACCAGCAGTGCACTTCACTTGTTTTTTGCATGCACTCACCTGCGCTCACTTTCTCATCACAGTTTTGGACATGGTTGTTCTCAATCTTCAACTCCTCCACATTTGGGCTTGTAACACCTGGAATGTCCGGAAGGTCAGAAGGTGGTGTTTTGGCAATCGGAGAATTGCGGCACTCCATCAAAAATTTACGATCATAAATAATCCTGGTACCTGGAGGGAGAGAACAACACTGTTGGTTTTTAGCATACAGCTGGGCCATCTTCACAGCTAGCTGTGTAAAACAGGAGTCATTTAAAATTATACCTATTATTTAGCACTTACTCTGTTCATTCTGTGCTACCTTACAAGAAAGCCAGATACTATTAACACTGTATCTGCTAAAAAGAAAAAAAAAGGTGTGAAAGAGTCAGGTACTCAAGTAATAGCTAATGCTACTGGTCTGGTGTACAGAGAGAACAAGACTCCGAAGCCCAGACTGATGCTGCATGCGATAGGTAGAAGGGGCTGGATATAACTCAAGGTCACAGCAAAACCCAAAGAAACAGTAAACTGAATTTCATTTCCGCTCATAAACTAACAGGCTTTTCTAAGTTGTCCGGGCTGAGACCGGTAGGAGACACAAGAGCACACACGAGGTGACAGGACGTGGCACTGCCTCCTGATGTCACTCTGAACATGGCCCAGCAGAAATTCCTGCACAGGCATTTGCTTTTGCGTCCCAGGTGCTGGCTGTCCAGCACGGTTACATACACCTTTTAAAAGGCTTGAATACAGAGTTGTTAATGCCCGTCTGTTTTAATGGTTAACCAGGCCACATCCTACTCTCCCTGCCCTACATGGAACAAGCCAGCTCCAGCGCATTACAGCGAGCCTCCGCAGGAGCAGCACAGATTTCTAGGAATACCACTGGACTGAACAGCCCGTTCCTTATAAAGGAATTGCATTGGAAAAAGCTCAAAAACCACACACAGAAAAGGGATCCCTCCAAACAGACTGCAGCCTTAACCCAGAAAGTACTGAAAATCAGTTTCTTCTTCCCCCAAGAGGAGGCCTGCAAACCTCCTCTCCGGATCAGGCCCTTACTGCTCTGCTCCTGTTGCAGCAAGAGGGAAAGGCAACTTCTCCTTGTGTACTCCCTGAAAAACTTTAACTAAAAATACACCCAGGCAGGGAAACAAGCTCCCATTAACATCTGTCTGGGAACATCAAACTCACTTTATTTTGAAGCATGGCTGTAAAATAATGTAGCTGGATATCATGTTTCAAGAAAGTTCTGCTAATGAGCTCCCAAAATATTGGAAACCCTTTCACTAAAAGATTTTGAATTTGAGTTGCTTCACTAGATCCAAGGGGAGATCAAACCCAATTCAGAACTGTGCTCTAGCAGTTAGCTGGATTTGAGAAGGCAGGCAACTAATCTGCGAGTTGAGTGTTAAATTCCTGTGAGGTTCACGGAGGCGAGGACGAGGCTTCCTAGAACCACAGCTCATGTACCAAGTATTAGGAGCACAGTTCAGGCGGACAAGAACTTCCACGCCTGGTTCACGTTCCTCTGACAGTCACATGCCCAGAGCTTATGAAAGCAAACACCAAAGCAGGACACCCAGCCACGGCTGTCAACAGGCACAGCCCGAGGCCATAAATGGGCTCCTTCCAACATGTAAAGCTGAGTTAACAGCAGTTCTCCTCCTGTTGTAAGGCAGAGTATTTAGTATGAAAGACTACACCCCACGGGAAGCGCTCTGCTCCCTGAAAGCCCTGGTTATACCACGGCTTCAACACCCCAGCGCCTCACTGTGCGACTTGGAAAGTCCAGATGAGAATTTGGCTCACTGAGTATTTTCACCAGAATGAAACGCTAGGTTTGAAGAGGCGTCCAGTACAACATCTCGTTCCTTTCCTGCTCCTTGATGGAGCACAGGCACTGTGAGCTGCGCTGCTCTGAGAGCCATCCCATCCCCATTGAAAGAGCCGACACCTCCGTGGCCGAGCCAGCAGCACCGGAGGCAGCTCCCCCTGCAAAAGGCACTGCGAGCACCAGCAGATCGCCACCCGCTCGGCATTGCTCACGGCAAGCACCACAACCACTGCAGCTCACTGTGCATCTCGGCTCGTGAGAGATCTGCTGGGACTCCCCAGATATGACTGCACGTGGGCTTTAATTAAAGACAATGTGTGCACGTGCCCTCGGCAAGCGGGCGAGTAGCCAGGACAGGCACAAAGGGAATACTGAGAACAGACTATGCTTAAAGGTCACACATCACCTCTTACACGCTCCTCTGTGCTTCTTCATATTGCTTTTTTTTTTTTTAACCCCTGCTGACTGCTGTAAGAAAAACAGCTACTGCCTGTGCTGGCAGAGGACAGGGAATTTCTTCGTTCCGCCATCCCTTCCAGAGGGGACCACAGAGCCCAGAGAGACCTGTGAAAGTAGCTGAAAAAGGAAAATCAAGTCCTTTTCTCTGATTGCTGGCACCAAACCAAGGTCCAGGAGCCACAGCAAAACTCTGCTCACTCACATCAGTCCCATGGTGGGCTGTGCTGCTCCCCCGCTAGTGGGATTAGAGGGAGGACGCTTTAGAGCGCAGTAAGACATGACTGTCTGCCCTCCTCGCATGGGCCCCCTTTTATCCAAACTGTATTTTAGGATGTCACTTCAACACTTCTGGAGACTCAAAAGCAACCTGCCTAAGAACTTCATCTCAGTTGTGCACGGTGAGGAGGAGGAAAAGCTTGTGTATTTGACCACGAGCAGCAGAGCCAGACCAGAGAAAAGGTGTTAACGAAAAAGCTTATCTACAAGTGCCTGACAAGTGGACAAGCAAGTGTTCCCCTACTCTTTCCAAGTCAATGAACTTGGCTGTTAGATGCACATAACTCGGCATACCGTAGCTGGGGAGTACGACCTTTTCAAAAGCCTCCAGTCACCCAGCACTGCTGCTGCGGGTTTCTAGCTCTGGCACTGAGCCCTTTTTCCGTCACTCACATCCCCAGCGCTGCCTACAGCCAAAGGGACGACTTCAGAGATTACAGCCCTCAATTATTCTCTGAAATTAGTCAGAGGTTTTGCATGACAAACTTCATTTGCTTCTTTCTTCTGATTCTTCAGACTTAACCTACTGTTTTGCAGGAAATCTCAGACTTTCTTCAGTGGGCTACATATGTTGAACATTTTCAACAAAAGGACCTAAAACAAGTGCTTCTGAAACACAAGATTATTTATTTTTACAGCAGCCAGGGCTTACATGAAAAGGACTAATGCAAAGTATTCTGCCTGAATCAGTGGATACATGGGTTAGCAGAAAACAGATGAAGAGAGCACGGCCCAGAAAGCAGCAGCTCTCCGAGTCCAAGCTGACCTGGCCCCAGCACTCTTTAAAGTGACACTTTAGTGCATTAATCTGGGGAGTTTGCTGTGAAATGTATCGATAATGTTTTCAGGAGAGCTCTTCCAGACTGTATAGAACAAGGAATTCTTTGCAAGAGTGACCACGAAGGCAAACCAACAACCCAAGGCTAACAGACGCTAAGTCCTTCGGGAGTTTTAAATCATTTCTCCTTTTAGCACCCGAATCCAACACCTGAAGGCAAACAGCCAGTGCCTGCAGCCAGGTCCCAGCACGAGCTGTCCTCAAACAGGCTGGGGACAGACTAAAGCACCACGCAGTCACGAGAGCACTGTGGATTTTGCCAGGTGCACACACCCTAACAATAAACAACATTTGTGTTTCTCCTCCACACTCTAGACATTCATTAACTCTCCGACAGAGACAAACAGAGATGATAATCCTGGAAGGCTCATTACACTGCACAGCACTGTTAATTGTTCGTTTCTATTCTGTTACTCAGAGCACATGAATATCGCTGAGAAAGTAATTCTCATTCTCCTATCTTCCATGGCATAATTACTGCAAGTGCTATTTAAGTACTTCAGTTATTTGCCGCTTTCAGAGAAGAGAGAACATATGGCAAAAATAACACAAGAACTACAGTTCCCCAACCAAGCTTTTCTGCACAAACACAAAAAAAACCTAGTGAGTCAGCAATGCTGACTTCCCCTTCTCTCTGAATTTTAACCCCTGAAATATTGTGCTGTAAAGAGACCGGTAGCTCTGAGGGACAAACAAAACATCATCCACCGCCTCCCATTTAGTTTGTTCTTTTGGCTGAACTTCAAGTACAGTTTCATCATTCGTGTCATTGATCTTTTATGCAGCAGCATGGGGGAACAATTCTTGAAGATATGGAAAAAGTGATCTCAAACCACTGATCAGCGGGAGCGCAGGCAGCTGCCGTAGCTGGAAATACACACAATTGATCTGGCGCCCGGTGTCATCATCCGGAACAGCAGCCACTTGTCTCGAAAGCCAAACTACTCAAAATAAACAGACATTCAAGCAAAGCAGTGTGGACACAAAACCTTTCAGATGGACGAGCCCTTTAAGGAGCTTTGCACATTATGTCCCTGCTGTAGTATGCAGAGACAGAAGACACTTTAGGCGTAGCTAAGCTAAACGCTAAGCTTACAGGCTGTGTACTTGCAGCTGCCTCCACTCTAAGCAGGCAGTGAGCACAGCTAACGCTCACAACCAGTTTATTCTTATCTGAAGATCAAATCCCTAAAAGATACCACTCTTGGTAGTCTCATGCAGCACAGCTATCGGGGCTGCACAACAAGACTTGCAGCAAAGAAAGAGGGAACCAACCCACTGTCATTTTGTGGTAGAGGAGCACTGCACTTTCAGAAGTTAGAGCAACTTGGGACGAGGGAAAAAAAAGGAAAGGCCCCAGGGTTTACTTACTGCCAGAGAAAACAGCAAATATTAGAGATTAGAATTAATAAGTAACCCAAATTGGAGGATGGGTTTGCTCCCTGCAAGGCTACCCAGGAGCACAAACAGCAGCCTTATTTTTCAGCGTGGACACCCAGGCGGATGCTGTTTCGCTGCACCGGCCCTGGGACGCTCTTGGGAAGGTGGAAGCCCGCCAGCTCCCTTGATCTACCTCACAGCACAGCAGTGGCCAAGCTCCCAGGGAGAAGCCTGGCCCTGCCAAGCCAGAGGCCGGCCTGGGGAGGGGGGACCCACCCCACCCAGGTCACCCCCGCAAGACAAGAGCCCCTAGCGCCAAGACAGCCCTGAAGTGAGAATGCCCATGCAGCTGCTGCTGCCCAAATGGGGGTCCCTCCCCACACCCC